ATAATTTCTAATAAAATTATAATAACTTTATATATATATAATATTATGTTTTTTCTCTTTAACAAGGGCAGGACAAAAAGTATTAAACGTAATTGAAACAAATGATTTCTTTCTCTCTATTATCTTTTATAGAATTGTCCGAAAGAGAGAAGTCATCATTTTAATGAATCATGATTCCAAACGATTGCTATGAAATAACGGAAAAAGCTTGTTTAAAAGCAGACAGGGAATAAAGAGTGAACAATCACGTGATATATGTGCCGTTTGAAATGAATTAATATTATATATCACACACACACACACACAGACAGACGTATATTCTTTAACAAATTTGGTACACATTTTTCTTGCATAATTAATACTCAAAGTATTTTATACGTAAAACAAAATTAATTTAATTCTAACACGTTTCTTTTTTTGTTTAATTAAAAATACAACCATGATCTTACAATAAAAACTGAAATTCGTATTGAAAAAAAACAGAAAAAGTAAGCCCATACGTGTCCTTAAGTAAAATCTATTTTAAAATTGGATCTATAATACTGTGTGTGAATTTATTTATGATAATAGGGTAGGTAGGTATGACTTTCATTCAATCGTTATTCTTTTTATTCGATCACGAATGTTTTTATTCAACAACTTTCGCGTAAAGAATAAAATTCACTTTCGTTTGATATTAAGAAACAACAATTTGGAATATAATATTATATTTTTTTGATAATTTTCTTTTTATTTTCACACCTATAAAATATTAAAGTATGTAAGAGATAGGAATGGTAAAATATATAAGTAACATTTTTTATCGAATAAAAGATACGGGGCATCAGATGCGAATGAAACTTTCGCCTAAAGAAATGAAATTATTCTTCCCATTGACCCAATTTTATCATGGTAACCCCCCTCCCCCCCGTATCATAATACTTTATCAATAAATAATTATTAATTATATCTATAATTTTTGTATTTTTAAGTTACATATTTTGTTCAATATTACTTATCTCGTGTTAGACTTATTTAATTCCTAATAAAATAAAATAAAATAAAATAAAATAAAATAAAATAAAATAAAATAAAATAAAATAAAATAAAATAAAATAAAATAAAATAAAATAAAA